TCTCCCTTGGGACTCCACCCTCATCATGCAACCTCAGCCCCAGCCCAAGGGACTTCTTCTTTATTCCAGCAAATGTATGAACTGGCTGACAGACCATTTTCCCCTTGGGAGGACAGGAATCCAAATCAAGAATTTGAGTAAACAGATCCATTTCCCTTCACCATTAAAATGTCCTGCTTTCTAAGGGACCAAAGGTAACAGTGAGTAAAGCATGGTGCTGAATGAATATCCAGTAGAATGGCTCATGCAAAACCTCCGTTCATGGGGAGTGTAAGGAAAAGTTTATGAGAGGCCTTTTATTTAGTGTTTAAAATGAACTGTTGAATGTTTCTAGTTTAAAGCTTCAACATCATTCTAATCAATGTACTAATTGGTAGTAATTCACTTAAGTTCACTTAGTGAATTATAGACTCCCCTAAGAACTCCTTGGAATGAGAATTTTCTAGAGAAAAATTCTTACTTAACCCTTGCAGAAACGGCCAACAATGCTAATTACTTTCATTTCTCCCATCTTCTTACTTTGCACCTCTGCTACTTTTGAAGTACTAGAGCCATAAACCCCAGCTAGACCCTAGATAGTGGTCCCCTGGTCATCCTTCAGCTTCAGCACTCACCACTTCCCCTATGCCTGCAGGGCTGTGCACAGGATGATTGTTTTCTTCCAGTCTTTTTTTTCCTGTGCATATATTTATATAATATTTATTTACAAACAATATTGTAATTAAACTCTGAATGTAACTTTGTATCTTTTCTCAATTGGTCTTTCAAACTATCATTTTTAATGATTGAAAATCATTTAATGACTTTTTAACTATGACTGTGTATAAACCAAACTTCTTGAAGGTACCTTGGGACTCATGTGTTAAAAGCCCTTATTTTACACAGGGTAATCCTAGTGGCAGTAGTCGAATTGAGACATGGAGATAAATTTACAAGACAGCTTTGCTCCTTTCTCATAATTCATTGAGCCCAACAAGACTGTAGAACAGCAACAAGGATGATTTATAATTTCTACTCTGCATGTCACATGGCAAGATATATAAGTGGTTTTCATAGCGCAGATTTAAAAGTTACAAGGCAGTTATCAGCATATAATCATGGGAAATTGGTTTTGGAATTTAGTATTATTTTACTATAGTTAGTGTATAGAATTTGGCATCAGGCTACCTGGGTTTACATTTTGGCTCTAACACTTGCTAGCTAGGTGCATTATTTAACCTCTCAGTACCCTCATGTATAAAATAGGGCTAATATTAACACCTACCTCATTGAGTTATGAAATTAAATGAGCTAATGTATAAGTCAAGTGCTTAAAACCATGTTTGGACATGATAAGCACCCAAAAAATGTGTGTTAGTACCACCTCCCTCCATCCTTATTATGTCTAGTAATAACTGAAATACTGGTATTTACTTCTTTAGATTCATCATCATTACAAAACTGGTAAAAAGAAAATGGGCAGACACAATAAAATGTAATCACTGAATAAAAGTTTTAGATGGCTAAATAGTGAAACTTTGTTGTACTCAAAATTAAATGAGAATATGTAAACCATTTTGGAAACTACAAATATTAGAACAGGATATTATTATTAGTGAGAATAATGTATTCTACATGAAAATGTTTATAAGATATGATTTATTTTATTTTATGCTTTCAAATAGCTTGATGAAAAATACTATCCTAAGCAGCTGGGATAAGAAGCAATGTAACCAACATCATTCATTCAGAACTGCATCCACAGTGGAGTTGCATGGCTCGGTAATGACTCACAGCCAGAACACCAGGACAAGAATGTGAAGGAGAAACTGACATCCCTGCTGGTTGGTATCCTGGCCTAGAGGGTAGGAATGGAGAAGTGGAGGTTGTGAGAATCTCCATGGGTTAGAAATCAGGGTGGCTCAATTCTGCTTTTTAGGAGATAAATGGGTAGTCAAAAAGGCAGTACCTTCACTAACCAGAGGCAGGTTCAAGAGATCCAAGTAAGACTATGTGCTAAGAAAAAAAGAGAGTGGTATATGAATTTTGATAAATGACTATAGAGGACCAATAGAATACAGATGATGGGGCGATGCAAAAACCTACAGATTGTTGGTGCTTCACTTAGTAAGCAGGGAAATTAAGAGAAAATGTTAAGCATTCCTTTGGGAATAGAAGATAGAATATTGCTAAGGAATGATACCTAGAGAGAAAACTAAATGACTGAGCAGAGTTAAATTAAGTCATGCTGGAGACAATGTATCACCTCTGTGCCTACAAATTATCTCTGCAAGTAGTGTCACACTGGAAGAGCAGCTTCTACTCTAAATGAGTAAATTTCTCCTGTGGAAATACACTGCCTATTTTTTTGTGGCATGATTCATTCCTTCATCTAATGGTGAAACTTAGTGGCCATTAACAATAGGAATAGTATGTTAATACTGGCTAAACCCAGTTGGGACAACTAAAAGTGAAGTAAGTTGTTCAGCTGTGATAAAATGTGGACATTTTATACTTTGAATAATTACAAATTTTCTTGCAAAGAAAGGTCTACTAACCATCAGTACTTCACTCTTTGCAAAATAAAATCATAAGTTAGCACTTAAGAATAGATTCTGTGTTTGGCCAATGATGACAGGCTTAAATTTAACTAATGCCATCAGCATTTAAACATATCATGTCACATCTTCATTCCTCTGGCTGTGTGACAACTCTCATCTTGGCAGATTTCAACAGTTTTTTCTCAGGCAACACCTGGCAAAATAAACCACTTTCATACAAATTGGAGACACATCACAATGAGCAGGTCCATACACTGTTATTCCTGTTTCTCCCTATTGCTTATATTTTTTTATTTTAAACTTGAGTCTACATCTAGCTTGAGGGGCAAAAGACTGCCTTTGAGATGGTTAAAGGCCCCCAATGCCAACATTATTACCCAAGATTTTGTATTTTTAAGAAAGCTTAAAACAATCTAGGAACCACAACAGTTTTAGTCACAAAGCACTGCTACAGCTCATCCACTTTTGCTTCTCACCTCAGGGAGCCACTACAAAGCCAAAAGTAACAAGCAATCAGGCTATTAGCTTTTGATAGAATCGTCCATATGATAAGTATACATTTCTTTCTATTATACGGTACTCTTGCAAAATGATTTTTGTTTTCTACAAAGGTTATGAAATACCATAAAAATGTCCAATGCATCTGGTTTGGAATCCAATTCTTCCTTCACATATTTCTGCATCTGTTCACAAAATCTCTTTGACTTCAAAGGAAGCTTTTCAAGAGAAAAAGAAGATACATACAGGAAAAGTGGCCATAAATTTTTAGGAGTCCTTTTCTAAGGCCATTTTAATAACAGCACTATAGGACAAGTATCTCTCTCAGAGACCTAAAATAGCACAGATGATATTAAAGACTGTGCATTTATATGGAGATTTATGCTTTAAAACCTTATTCTGGGTCTAAAAGTGGTAAATCTTCAATTTAGAACATGTGAAAAATACAGAAATCTTAAAGGAGAAAATGTAAATCACTTCTAATTCACCATTTAGAAGACCAAAGTAAAACACAAAAAAGCAAGGATGATTGTTTCCTTCCAGTCTTTTTTTTCCTGTGCATATATTTATATAATATTTATTTACAAACAATATTGTAATTAAACTCTGAATGTAATTTTGTATCTTTTCTCAATTGGTCTTTCAAACTATCATTTTTAATGACTGAAAATTATCTATAGATCTGTACCTTTAAAAATGTTCTTGCTTACATTTAATTCTTATTCTACTCAAAACTAAAAGGTTTGAAAACACTAATCTGTAAATTCCACAACATTCCGTGTTTTGTAATTAGTATTTGTTATTTATAGGTTTCTGTGATCTTAATGACATTAAAATGGGGGTAATGGTCTCAGTGACTTTTCCCTTATCCTTTCTCTGCCATGTATTGTCCATAAAACATGCATTCAACATGAGCTAATCAGCATGGAGCGCTATCAGGAGCTGCTGTAGGCCATATGAGAATTTTGCTAGATGATAATTGTGCCAGTTTGATCAGGCTACTTCATCTCTCTGTGCTTTTCTTAAAAGGTAAATAACGCTGTTGTGTGGATCCCCTCTAAAGCTCCTTTAAGCTCAATCAGTCTATGAGCCCATTTGTTTAAAATGCTCTTTAGGTTGGTTTTCCTAGTGAACTTAGGTTATTAGAAATGATAATATTGCAACTTTAAAAAATATCTTTGAGTATCTAAAGAAACTAATGATGGTAACTGCAGAAAATATAGAGGAGAAACAGTAGAAACACATGTATATTTATTTATACTTCTTTTGCCATGAGGGTAAGATTCCAAATACTGACAAGACGGGTTGAAGCGCCGTGTCCATGCTCTCAGCACAACAGACTAACGGTAACGGCACAGTGCTGCCAGGCGCAGACAGGATGATGCACTTTGGCAGCCTGCTCAAATTCCTTCAGAGCTTGCTAGACAGAGGTCTACTTTGGGGCAATGAGGAATCAGAGTGGAAGATTGCACCGACGCTTGCTCCAGTGCCGCACTGGCAGAGGGAGGACGTCAAGCGGTGACACCAATTTAAATCGCCCAATTCCTAACAAGACGTCTTCTCTAATTTCTCCGCTGGCCTCTTGGCTAGCTGTTAAGGAAAGGAGGCTGAAAGAGTAATGAGAAGGTGGGCAGTTCTGGAAAGACCTGCCCTTGGGGCTCTGATAAATTCAGAGGCGCTCGGCTTCCCGCGTCGCCGAGCAACTGGGGAGTTGCCGCTGGGACCCAGCAGCAAAGTGCGCAGGCGGCAGCGTGCTCCTCCCACACGGGGCGCGGTACGCAATCACGCATCCTCGCCGCGCTCCGAGTGGGAGGGTAGTGTTTGACGAGTTCCCCTTAGCATAGGAACGGTTATTCATTCTCCAGAGAAAACAGAAAGAGAAAAGCAAATGAAGGGGATGTGGGGGACAAGAAAGACCTAGTGGGACGGGAAAGTGGCTGGAGAAGTGCCAGCTTTGGTTACCTGGCATGCGGAAGCAGCTGCGGGTCCTTTATGAAGTGCCCGGATGAAGCTCCAGCACTCACGCGCCTTTCGCGTTGAGCGCAGCGCCATCATGAGAAGGGCGGAACCGTCTTTTGTTGAGTGACGTATGCCCCAAGAGCCAATCCCAGATTCCCAGCGCTTTTGCTTGCTACGCATGCGCTCATGCCTTAGGGGCGGGCAGCTGGGTGGCTACCGCGGTAGTGGAGTCCTAGTCCGCTCCGGTCTTAAGGAGTAGATGAGGAAATGAGTTGGGGTGTGCTTGACCTTAGTGTTACCCACTTGCGATGTAGTCTTTAGGGAGGACTTCCTGGAGGGAGAAACCCTTTCGGGGATACTTGTAGCAGCATTTTAGACGGGAAGAAAGTGAAGTCTTTCAGATACTAGCTCTCCAGTCAGCTTTTGAAAAATTTCTCTAGGAATGGGGCCTTCGCAATCCTCTTTGAAGGCAGTAAGTGGTCCTTTCAGGCCTGTGCGACCTCGTTGATTCATTCGACCTGCAAAATTTTGTTGAACCCCACCATCTGCTGGGAATTGAACATACAAAGAAAGATAACGTATCTTGCCTTTAAGAAGTATATGGCCTAATGGAGTAGCAGATAATAAATGATGCACTGTTTTAGGTGTAGAAACAAACACCAAGATTCCGGAGGAGTGGTGGTTAAGACTGGTGTTTTAAAGTAGTCCAGGAAGGGCTTCAGAAGAAGGTGATAAATGATACAAGAAAGTGTTTTGTGTTTCGGATTAAATCAAGAGAAGGGTTACCACAGTACTCCTGCCTCTGTTAATGCACCCAAAAAGTTCCCAGGCAGATCAGAACCTATCACTTATCTGAACACAAAAATAAAACTGGGAGAGATTTGTTAGAATTACTTCATGTGTTTCTTGGTATCTACCCATTGAACAAAAACTAAATTACCACATTTCCATAGGGAGAGGTTGGAGATTAATGGAATAAGGATGCCTATGCTCTTAACTGAAATCTAACGGTTAAGATAAAATTTATAAATTAAAACCATGCATTAGAATCTCAGGAGTGGTATAGTACTCGTGATGTTCAAGCATAACTGATGTAATACAGAAATAAGCAGGGAAGAAACTGTAGGGATGAAGCAAAAAAAAAGAACAACCAAATCTCATTCTTAACAAAACTGATCAATTTGGTTTTGTGTTTTAAATTTGAGGTGCTTGTACTACTACCAAGTGTGAGGCCCATTAGGTAGATTGGCCTGAAGCTCAGGAGAGAGAGCTGAACTACAAAACACATGGTAATTGAAACCAAGGACATCTTTAAGACCACCAGGTAGAGTTTGTGGAATAAAAATGGTTGTACGATGGAAATTAAAAGTAGCCACCAAAAGATATTTTAAACCCAAAAATGTGATATTACTGATACTACCCAGGACAGAAACCTTGCTGGTGGAAGTGATGAATGATCTTTATAAAGATATATATTCCTTCTCAATGCAGTGTTATAAATGCCTAAATGTTTTGTACCGATATATATAGCAAAGCATTAAAATACAGTTTTTACAGCTACATTATTAATTAGATTAAGTAACCCTTGGAATTAGCAAAACTAGACTTCTGAGGTCCTTGGCCATCTGGATTGTAAGAGAAAACCCAGCAATAAGAAGCAGAAAACTTTTTAAAGGGACTGCCCATTTAATTTTCTCAAGCAGCAATTTTAATCTTTTATCTACAGCTCATATGACTGAACTATGTCCACGAGAGATAGTTCCAAGATATACTCCTATTGAAGAGAGCATATCAGAACACAAGTGTAAACACTTCCATATCTGTATTTTTTAAATTAAATTATTTTCAAACTTAGAAGTATTAAATTTTGGTTCCCACCACAGTGATGACCTGGTGACTCAAGTGTCTCTCAGACAGCAAGGTTGCCTCTTTGGCAAGGACTGTTTTGTATTTCCTATATTTCCTTCAGCATGTAGTATAATGCCTTGTGCAGAGTAGGCACGTCTTTTAAATCTAAATTTTATTCTGAGAAAGTACACAACTAATTGTCAGAGGTTGATAGGCTTTTAATAGCCACAACAGACAGCTGAGAGCAGAAAAGACACTAGACTTATTAAAAGCAAGCTAGTTTTGTCTGCTTTTGTACCTTTTTACAATGGCATTCTGAAACCATTTGTTTTTGGAAGAAGTATTACCATTTAAGCACACCATCTTCTGCTCTTCAAGGAGTGTGCTGTATTCAACATAGTTTAATAAGTATTTTAAATGTTAATCCTGAATCTTCAGGAAGATATGTTATTCAGTGTATCTTTTAGAGAAAAACTGTGTAATACCCTTTTGACCCTTTTGAAATACTTCAATATAAAATGTTTCAAAAGTTTGTGTAATGCAGGGTTAGTTTGGTTATGTGGGAAGTTCACTTATGGAACATTTCATTGTCCAAAAGTGCTGTTTAAGTGAAGCACCACTGTAGTTATTGGCAATATTGTACCACTGCTATCATTTGTTAAGCCAAAAAACTTCAGTGAAATGGGATATAAGTGTTGTATTGAAAGCAGACTTTAGAAAAGCAGACATTAGATATACTTAAACAATGAAAAACTTCTATAGTTGTATACTCTAGCATGCATTGTATATCTACATATGTTCATGCTTACAATTTTGAACACTTATTTAAAATTTGATTTCTCATCAACACTTTTATTTTATAGTAAGTTCTCATAATTTTTCTCTTTCTTTAACATTCCTTGCAAATCCCATCTTGCTTGAAACAATAGATTAAAACCAGATTGGCAGTTGGGGAACGCTCTCTATTGCAACCATGTGTGTCAGAAGAAAGGATTAGGTTTCCTTGCCTAAGAACATCAAGGGGAACCTCCACCTCTGCAGACACACCTCTATTTCTCAGTAATGGAGAGTTTATATCCAGTTAGATTTAAATGGGATAAGGAGAGAGTTTAAATCCATTCGTAGCTCTAGTAGTATAATCAGCCCTCAAGTCTCAAAGTATCCAATTTTGTTTCTCTAATTTAATTCTAGGTGTCAGGTTGGTAATAGATGTGATCAAGGTAATGGAGAGTTACCCTACACATTTATTCACTTAAAGAAGAATTTTGCAGAATGCAAAAACTAGATGCCATCTCTGTTCAAAACTTACTTAAAGCACAATCCATTCACCTCTGACCTTTCATTTATATTGAATATGTTTTTTGAATATTGAGGAAGAAATTTCTTAATGAAGGCAAATGTTTCTTTTCCTAATTTGGTGTACAGCTACAGTTCTCTGGCCTTACCATCATATATATATATATATTATACATATATATATACATATTAATTGAAGTATATTAATGTACAATCTTTTGTTGATTTCAAATGTACAACACAGTAGTTAGCCATGGTATTAAATCCTCACCCCCTCTAGTGCTATTACTATCTATCAATGTAGAAAGATGTTACAGAATCCTTGACTGTTCTCCATGCTGTACTACTGTCCCCATGACCAACTTATATTGTGATTGTGAATTACTGTGCCTCCTTATCCCCCTCACCCCTCTGGGCAGCTATTCTCAACCAAATAAAACTGGCCCTACTTATCCTGTCATGGTAGGGTTAGGTTTATGAAAAACAAAATGTAACTTTTCTCATCCAACATGAGCATGAAGTGGCTTTCCACAGATCTCTTTTAAAAGGGTAAGTAAGAAGAGTATCTTGACCTATTTTCCTACTCTCTAGCTACTTGCAGTGGCAGTTCACTTAGTTTCCAGCTGTATTGCTTTTGTGTTTTTCAGAAATACATGAATTGCTTTGTAATTGGCAGTCACAGTGATTCCTTTGATAGCTGCTAACCCAAAGGAGGTTATGCAATAGGTGCTGTGGTCTTAGGAGTAGAATATAGTCACTGTCCATCCAAGCGTGGCAGGTGTGTGTGTGGAAGTGGATAGGGACATGGGTAAGAGCCCTGCCTCTCTCTCCTTCCACCCTCTGATCTTCTGATCTTTTGGTTCCTCATACTCTGAACCTCAGGGCAAAGGAACATGATTTTTCTGGCCCATAAAAGTCAGTCCTTCCATCCATCTCTTGGAAGCATAGGCTAAGATGCAGAATGGTAGACAGTACATCTGTTAGGGCCAAATGGAAATATTCAGTAAAGAACTACTAACATTTGACAGAACTTGAAATATAACTGAAAAAAATTATACATACCTAAATCTTCTTAGGATAATTTCCTAACCAGGCATTAACTTGAAGTCAAGACCATGTAACAACAAAGTGCAATACAAGAGAAGACCTCAGTAAATATTGGCAGATTAAGTAAATGAACAAATGAACACATGTGAGGGGAAAGAGGGAAGTGTACAGTGGGATATTTTAAAGATAGTGCAGGGAATTGGGGGAAAAAATTTTAAAGCCTAAAATAAGCCCTGGAAGCATTTAAAAAATCTCCTGATATCTGTTTGCTTTCTTGTGGTTTGCTCTTTCCACTAAAAAAGCAGAATGCATAAGATATTCTGATTAGTTGAGGGTTATTACTTAGGTTCCAGCTAATGTTTTATATATAAATTAAATTACTCCTTTTCCTCCATTCTGCTTGTATTTCTCTTTAGTCAGATCCCTGTGGGAGGGAGTAGCATTCCTGTGGTGGGTTATATAATTTCTATGGAAATTATTCAAAACACAATTTTTGTAAACACTATGTGAAGATATGATTTACTTCCAGATTCAGCCCTGTACTTGCATCATCTCTCTATTTATCATCAAGTTCTCTGTTTGCCGGCATTTCTTTTTAAGAATGTGTCCATATCAGTTTTGCATCTAAGAGAATCAACTTCCATTAGGAGAACTGAGGCAGTGGGAAGCTAGAGAGAAGAGATTTTGTTCCAGGAGGCAATGGGTGTATTGAAAAGAACCCTGGACTTTATTCCCAGTCCCAATTCTGCAATAACTAACAAAGTAACATTGGAAAGCCCTTAACCTCTCCACCTGCTTTTCATCTGAAAAAAGTGGAAATGGTTGAGCCAGCAGACTCTCAAGCTTCCTTCCAGCCCTTAACAATTACAGAATTAACTATTAACAGTGCAAACTTATGCTCATACGG